GGGGGGGGTTATTCCTCCAAAGTAAAGTTACAACCAATGGGTTCAACAACACTCAGTGCCAYGGAGCGCCCTCTGGTGGTCAGAACCGGTAACGGCTCCGGTTCGGCAGTGTTTCATGAAGAGGTTAAAATCCAGTCGCAGCATTTTAATGACATCCACACCGGAACATCAGCAGCTAATCCCGGTTCCCCTCACGGCTCACGGAGCGGCGCCGAGCCGCTGTGAGGTGAACCGGAGCCGGCCGGTGCAGCACAGAGGCTGCCCGCAGAACGTCCCGGAGCTCCGGGGAGACAAACTCACACACCGCCTGAGAGGATTACCACCGGCCAAACGGACCATTTCCCCGGTRCAACTCCAGCACTACGCCATGAATAAATAATCGAGCGATCCGCGCTGCACCGCGGTGAGAAAAGGCAGCTTGCTCTCCATCATTCACCGGTCTGCTCCACGCAGGTGTGGAGCAGACCGATAAACTTCACCACCACGTCCTGCGGGACATTTTCACCCACCTTCAGAACCGGCAGCAGGAGGAGCGGGTTAAAGTCAAACACAGGAGTTAGAACTTGAGCATTAACCCGTCGCCGGGTCCAGATTCCGCACTTCGACTCACCTTGAGCGGCCGATCCTCGGGTGCTGAAAACACTTGCTATCAAAGTGGCCACATACCAAATCATAGTACTGTCACCGAGCAGAAAAAAGCCTCATCATATCTCAAAGTGCCCCTTTCGCTGGATCCCTCATCGCTCGGGACAAACTGGAGACTGGCCGGTATCCCTGCTTCCCCTCAACCGAGTCTTGGACTGGTTCCCCTCGGCGGTTTCCCCTCTGTCTTCCCCTCTCCTCCGCGCTCCTCTCGCATCCTCACACGGATCACCTGCGCCAATAAAACAGGAGCAGACGGCGCCGTGAAACCAAGCACAAGCCTTCAGATGTCTAAGCTCCACCTCCCGCACTGTTTCATTGGCCGGAGGGAGTGGACGATGGTCGCTGATTGGCTCACTGCGCTGTCACTTTAACAGTTAAGAGTGGTGCGTTCCYTGACCTGAAAATGCTCGGAAATTCTAAATTACTGCTTTTAGCCTTTTTCAGCTCTGACAAAATTAAACTTTTAGTTCTGTCTAATGGTTATCAGTAGTTATCTGCCATGACGTCATCATTCACAGAGCAGAGTATGGAGAATTGTGCAAAAGTTTTCATCCAGGTTAGAGAAGCCAAATGCAGGTTAAATGAATTTTTAAACCAGTTTTCTGGCTTATTATAAACCAACTTTTCCCTCAAAAACACATCAGTGTGAAAGAACTCTACGTTAGTTACCATTTTAGTTTTTAGTTAAATGAGTTACAACCACACTTAATTTCCCTCTGGGATCAATAAAGTATATTTGAATTGAATTGAATTGACAGTATAGATCTTGTTTGTGTGTTGGTATTGCTGATCATGGAGTGTGTGTGTGTGTGTGTGTGTGTGTGTGTGTG